TTTAATTATTTTTTTCATTTTAATGCTCAATAATATTTTTGAAAATGAAATTTAAGATGAAGTAAAAAAAAAAAAAAAAAAAAATTTAAGGCGATGCAATAAATTATGATATTTCATGCTTTTACGATATTTAACATATGAATGTCTTAAATAATTTTTTTTTCTAAAAAAAATATAGCATGAAATTTTAATTCAAATATTTAATTTTAAGGATTTTATATAATAAAGAAGTAATATTTAGTTAAATAATTATATGTAAATTAGTAAGTAAATTTTTTTTTTTCTGTCAAACAGTCGCAATATTTTTTTTTTGTTGACATTTAAATAATTATTTACTTTTTCATAACATCTCTTTAAAAAAATAAAAAAATATCCAGTAATAAAAATTCTACTAATTACAAACACAGTATAAAACGGTTTAAAGGAGCCATAACATCTACAAGGTCAAATAATTCCACTTATATTAATATATTTGAGTAGGTGAAAAACTCCTGATAAACGTGCACCTACTCACAATCAAGAAACACCCCTTTGGTTTATTGAATTAAAGAAAGCTTTAGGAGTAATAAAATAAATATATATCCGAAAGCGATGGGAGATGAAGGAGACGACGACCAAGACAATTGACTTCAGACAAGATATAAAATGACTGCAAAATGGAAAATCTTACGAGTCAAACCTAAGACCAAATAGGCAAGTACTCACGCGTTTTCTATTTCTATGAAAAGCAATTTAGTCCCTAATTGGTTCAATTAAAAAAGTTCACTTAATCTAAGTAAGTCACCAATTAATTTTTAATAACAAATTTTATAAAATTCACAATTTTTTTAACTATAAATTTCATTAACGTTTATCGAAATCTACCAAAATCTGATTTTTACCTAAACTAAATGGGTTTTAATAGTTTTGTAATAGGTTTTCTAGTTTGAGAACAAATGAGTAAACAAAAAAATTAAATGACACGTTTGATATGACGTTTGAAAAGCTAAAAAATGATTCCAAGACTCAAAAATTGATTTTTAACACGTTTGATTAATTTTATGAAAGTGTTTCTTTTAATTAAAAGAACTTTCAGAGAAAATTGATTCAATATAACTTCATCTAAAAACATTTATAGAATAGAAAATTGATTTAGAGATTAGTTTTGAAGCACCCCGTTTTGCATGATTTTTGAAAAATCAAAATGAATTTGTGAGGTCAAAAAATTACTTTTGGACCCGTTTGGCTGATTTTATGAAAGTTTTCTTCTAGTTAAATTTATTTTAGAGGGAGTGATTCAATGTAACTTCGTTTAAAAGCATTTTCGAAATAAGATCTTTTAAAAATTAGTTACCAAACAAAAATAAATGTTAACTTCCTCCAAAAGCTCTTCTACAGAAAACAAAACTAAAAGCAAAAATCATGCAAAACGTACCCTCTGAAAAACTCTTTTAAGGAAACATAAGTAAAAGTAAAAGTTATGTCAAACGACATTCTACTTTATCCCAGTTTGGCCCCATTTGTCTAAAATTTCAATTTTTTTCAAATTTATTTTTAATTATACATTTCAAACATTTATCAAAGAAAAATGATAAAAGTACAGGGGAAAAATTTATACAGAAATTTGAATTCTCAGTCACATGGTGTGGGCCCCATGTATTAAATATTGGAAAAAAAAAATCTTGCTCCCGCCTTTGGCTGTGTCTGTTCTGTAGATATAGCATGGTTGTTTATCAAATTTTCAATCACAATTACAGAACTTTTTCAAAACTGAGTAAAAATTTAGGAGGTGTTCTCTTTGGCCGTTTTGGGTCGTTTTCTGTTTTCCAAAATAGTGAAAATGCGTTCTCTTTCCTATTTTCGAAAACATGTTTTTGAAAACGAAAAAAAATTTGTACACAAAACACAAAACAATGAAAATATTGTTTTGGTTGTTTTCAAGCAAAAACAGGGCAAAAAAAATGAAAACACGCGAATCGCCAGTTCCAACTCGTCCACTGCCCCAATTCGAAGATTCTTCCCTCTTCTTCCAAACCATCTCCTCTCTTCCTTCCCTCTGGATGCCGGTTCTCCCTTATCGATGCCCACGAAGGAGATGAGCCAGTATTGGAGCCGGCTGGGGAGGCGACTCTTCCATGAACGCAGCATCGCGACCCATTCTTCGCTACGCTGCTGTGGTTTGGCCCGTCTCTGCCTACTCTCTCTTCGACGTCGGCGACCCATTGGCGTCGTTCGCGACAGGGTGAAGGTGAATGTTCTCTCTCTTTTATCTCTGCAAGTTTGGGGGCTTTTGATTTTTTCGATTTTGGTTGGGTAGATTGGTTTCGACCCATTGATATCGGTTGTGTTGATTGGAAATTGCAGTGGTGGTTATGTTGGCAGTGATGACTAGTGGTTGTGATGGTAGGCTGTGGTGGTGGTGACTGGCGGTGATTGCAGTGGTGGTGAGTTTGGGATTGGATTTAAATTTTCGGATTTGGCCTTGTATAATTATATTTTCGTGATTAATTGTTCTTAATTC